CTCGCTTTACCAGCTGTGACATCACATTGGTGGCTCATATTCATCTTGTGGTCAATCATGACCCCCAAGTCCCTTTCGGCCGTGGTACTAACAAGCGTAGCACTGCCGAGCCTATAAGCGTGGTGCGGGTTTTTTCCCCCAAGGTGGAGTACCTTGCAGAATGTTCTCTGCTACCCATCTGCTTTCCTCCCAATTTTCCCATGCAGCTCAGTTCTGGGCCTGCAGCACAGTTGCAATGGGCCAAATTCTACCTTTGGCTGCAAAAGGGCAAACGCATTTACTGCCCCCAGGACAGCCAAGGATAAAAAGAAAAGGCAGAAAGGAAGGAGCTGGGACACCTGGGCTCTTCTCCCAGCTCTGCCTCTGTCCTGCCTTTGTTCCCCTTCTCCCCTGTCTGACTGGGGCAGGACTGCGTCTCAGGTTACTGCAATACATACAAATTGGTCTCCTGGTTTGGCATTCTCTGTGACACTGCTGCTGGTCACCTTTCACAGTGCACATCTCCAGGAATCCCTCCCACACTTCCCTTTTCTCTTCTGCTACCTTCCTAACTCTGCATTTGAGAATGCAGCAGCTAAAACTCAGCATCAGGAGGAGGACGAGGAGACACGAATCAAAGCCACTTACTTCTCGTAGTCATGCTTGCAGTACAGCTGCCGGTTGCGGCAGTAGCAGGTGCCTGAAAGTGGCTGCAGACAGGCCGTGCACTTCACACAGCCCTCATGCCACGAGCGCTCGTTGACTCGCAGGAGGAAGCGGTCGGAGATGGGCGTGTCACAGCCGGCACAAACCTCCCGCATTTTGGAGTCCGACCCTGGGCAGGGAGGAGGAAAAACACTGGTGAGCTACAAGAAGGTTCCCTTTGTAAGCAAGACGGTCTGTCCTGAGGACTGAGGTTGAGGCCCCTCTGGGCTGAAGCAAAGCCAGACCTCAAGAGACGCCACATGTCTGACTTACTAGTGATAAGGACTGTACATGTAAGGCAGTGACATGTTCTTAGAGCCTAAAAAATACATGAACACATTTGTCCCACAGATACAAGCAGTGTCTCCTGAGAGCGCCCCCAACACTGCAGGGATCTACGACGGAGTGCACCCCCCTGGTGACTCAGACACAGGGACCTGCCAAAGCTCCACGTGCCCGCTGTCAGCCTGCCTCTTCCTGGCACACATTCCTCTCTGCTAGGGGCACTCAGTGGCAAACCAGTCAGACTCAGGATTCTTTTTTCCCCCCAGATGTTATCACCGCGTCAATCTGTGGCTACTCTTCAAAGGCTTCCCAGTGACAAGTCCAGGGGAGAGGAGTGCATGGGGGCAATAACTGCATTATCTGGGGCCTTGGATCTGGGCTTCAGGTTGAGCCAGGATTCCTCAGCCTATCATGTGCCGGCTCCCTGCCTGTCACACCAAGCTATGCAGGGTGCTGGAAACACTCACCTTGGCCTCGGGCCCAGATGCAAGTTTTACCCCACACAATTCTTAGGGCTGTGTGAAAAGGGGGTGCCCCAGCAGAATGGGGACAGGCACATTCCACAAAGAAAGGCCACAATCCCCCCTCAGCTAGAAAGCACTCACAGGCCCTGATCAGCCCTTGTGGGCTCCTCACACTCCATGAACCTCACAGCTTGATTATCTGCAGCAGGTTACTAAAGACAAGCCCTGCCCAGGCTGCTGCTGCTGATGTGCGAGGCAGGAGACTGTGAGGGCCCAGCTCCCTGCCCCCTGCACCTCATGTAGTGTTAGTGTCTGGATGTGGCAGCACTCCACACTCACATCTCTGCACTCGCTGTGTAGAGAAAAGCATAAGATGCAGGAACGTGGACAACAGAAACCAGGCTCTGTGAGGTCTAGATTGATGCACTGCATCCTAGATGGAGCGGTCTCTGGGGCAGGGCCTGCTTCCGCATTATTTGTTTGTGCAATGGAGTCCTCCAGTGTTGCAGTAATAGAAATAAACCGTAATTACTGTAATGCTGGTGCCAGGAGAGCCTTTACTTGGTGTGTCCTAGCTCCATCTCTGCTACATCACAGCTTTAACTTGGGAATAATATTGCCTCTGTCTGTTAGGCAATTACTTCCTGCTGTATCTCGCTGCTTAAGCAGGATTCTTTACTACAGCATGGGAGACCTCTGCTAACAGAAGCTGTCTCCCTGCCAGGCAGTCCAAGCCACAAAACTGCCAACACAGAAGAAGCTGGGCAGATGTGTGTGCACCTCTCCTCCCACCCAGCTTCAGAGGAAAGTGAAGGATGGCACGAGCAGGGAACAGTTTCATCTGACAGAGAGCTCCAAGGGAGAGGTGGAGATCCCACCACAGGGAAGTCTGTGCAAACTGGCAGACTCCACATGGCCTCTGGGGCTCTTCCACTGCCAGTTTGTCATCCAAGCCCAGCAGCTCAGGACATCCCCAGTGATCCTGCCATTCCTGGGCACAGGAAGTAGTGCTTCCTGCCTGGGATACCTGAAGCTGTGCTTTCCCTGGCATGTTCCTCCTTGCTTCCCCCACCACCACCCACCACCTCCATTTTCTCTCCCCTGATTGCATCTTTATGGTTTTCCTACCCCTGTGCATTTCCCTCTTCCCTTCACTGCTTCCTCCCCTCAACTCCTTCACTTCCCATTGCCCTCTTTCCTGCAACCACTTTCCCTGCCCCATATCCTGCCTCTGTTTTCTAACACCAAAGCAGCCAGGAAGAGGCTATGTGTAAGCGGACGCTGCATTTCAACCACACAGGCCACACAGCAGACTGTGTGTACACATGCGTGAATACATGCACATACATGTACACACTTGGCTGAAATAGCAGATGAGGCTGCAGGCTGGGGTTGAGAGCCTGGTACAGTGAGTCTTGGTAAGCAGGACTAAAAGGTGGGAGATACAGGGCTGGCAGAATGGGCAACAGGCAAACTGTAAGGGTAGGGGACCTAAATGGAGGAATCTTACTAAGCATCTTTCTTCCCTACCCTTAGTGATTAATCACAAA